TACAGTAAAAAACCCTAATTTTGACCATTTTGCCCTTTTAATGATTTGAATATTTTTCTTGGGGAATTGTGATCAAAACTTGATCAATTAATATATATAACTTCAAAATGTTGATATTGGTCAAAAATCTTGAAGTTTGACTGCAAGTTGACCATATTTGACTTTCTATCCAATATAGTTAATATTGGATCATCTCATCAATTGACTAAGCAATTTTGAGATGCAAGACTTGAAACTTGATATGAGCATTATTGATGGTCCATAATGATCTATGAAAGTCAATTTAAGCACTAGAAGTCCAATTTACCTTGTGAAAATCCAAACCCTAATTTGAGGTATCAGTGTTGAGGAGATGGCTTGACCTAGTCAATACTTATGTAAGCTTGAAACATTGAAGATCTTTATGAGAAATATCTTGAGAAAAGAGAGGGAAAATTTTGGGGTAAAAAACTTATCTAGTGGAATTATTCCTTCCATTTATCCAAGGGTCCTCATTTTCAAGGGTAAACCTAATGTCAGTTAGTTGTCTGCAAGGCTTTGTTGACAAAATCAAAATCAAATTTGTTGTTGGGAAGGTTTTTCTTCTTTCTATGGCGGGAAATGTTAGATAGTTAAATTGTAATTCACAACATGTTTATTTATAACTTTTCCATTTACACTTGGCATGCCTCTATAATAAAAAAAGTGGATAAGTGGATATAAATTTCATTTGGTTAGGTGATCTTGAGAAGAAAAAAATTGTGACCATTTATTGTCATAAAGTTGTGTCCCCTATGATTGAAGACAAGTCTGTCCTTAGATCCATAAGACACATAAATGAAGTAATCTCAAGTTAGATTTCAACTACAAGACTTCCAATGAGCATTGGGCTCATTTTCTTAGGGCCAAAACTATTAGATTACATGATTATATCAAATACCACATTGACTCTTCCATTGAGATAAGTATCAAATTTAAGTTGCCCTCTACTGATGTGCTTAGTAGGTGGAAGCCAAGGGATTATAAATTCATCAATTTTTGGACTGACAATTGGTTAGAGGAACATTTGATCCATATGTTACATATTGACCCTTTAACGTAAGATCATCTAGTGGCTAGGGTTATTTCTAATATAAATCTCAACTTGAATAACTTATTAAACAATGTTCCATTTATATGTTTGACAATTATGATCATCTTATTTGGGAACCCTCTTCTTCTAAAAATCTTAGTTTCAAAGATGTTTACTTATTATATAAATCAAATGGTTCTCACATGCCTTGGGCTAAAAGCCATTTGGTATTCTCACATCTTTCCAAATCTCTTTTATTTTGGAGACTCGCCATTAACAAGCTTCTAATGGATGAGAATATCAAGAATAGAGGATGTCACCTGGTCTCTCGGTACAATTTATGCTACGAAAATACTGATTCCAATACTCATTTATATTTTCTTATTGGTTTACTTAAGATATTTGACATTGGCTTGGTTGCTTATTAAAGCTTAACTGACTCCTACCTCCACTAGCCAAGCTATCAAAATAGTAGGGGTGTTTATGGTGAAGTTTGAACGGTTTTGAGACTAAAAATCATCTGAACTGCAAGAGAAAAATATACGGGTTGATTGACTCTTAGGAATAAAACTGAATCAAACAGTTGGTTCAATTTTTTATAAGATTTTTATTGAGCCATACATACTCATGTATAGGACATCATAACTTTGTGTTTAGTCATTCATGCATTACTAAATAACAAGAAAAATTAACATATTTGAAAAACTTCTCATTTAATACACAAAAATAAGATTAGACAATAATGGAATGAAAAACATAAAACGGTAGCATAAAACAATATAAAATTTTTTATAATGAAACATAAAAACAAAGGAGAAGAGAGATTAGAGAAAATGAAAAGAGCGAACAGAAGAGATGAGAGATAAAACAAGAAGAGGCATGAGAAAAATAAAACTAGAAGAGAGAACACTAATATACAAATGAAAAGATGAAGAAAGAAAAGAATATAAAAGAGGAGAGATTAGAGGAGAAGAATTGCGATGTATCTGGAGAAGAAGATGCGATACAATTAAGGAAGATTTGAGATGACTGAAATTAAAACCATAAGTGTGAGAAAGAAAAAATTATTCGTAATCGTATGGCTAAGGAAGAATATGTTTGGATTTGGATTAGATGTGAGTTAAGTGAAATTTCAGTTGTAATATAATGCAATTTAGTTTGCTTTAATTCTGTTTACAAAATACAAATCACAAACTAAACTGAACCGCACTATTCTGTTAAAAAATGACTCAAAAACATCTAAACTAAATGCGTTTATTTGCAATTTTCAATTTAGTTCAGTTTGATTAACATTTTTTTATTAGACCAGTTCGATTTTGAATAACTCTACATAATATACATATTAGTACAACCCCTAAAGATAATTTTTAGCCAAATGGATCAATGTTCAATTCACCTTAAGCAAAACCTTGAATTTGATTAGAAGCCTTGAAATACATAATTCAAGGGAATTTCTTAGTACACCCTTATATAGGTGAAAAACACGTAAGTGAAAATCTCAAAATACCCTTCGAATATGCATATTCGAACGAACCCCTATTGTTGTAAAAAAAAATGTATTTTCAGATATGCATCTGTGAATAAACTTTTTTGTCCGAAAAAAATGTTTTCGAATATACATATCTGAACCATTCTCTGATGTGCTTTTTTAGTAATTAAAAGAGGAATATTGGTAATTAGTTTTTGATTTAACGGTGAATCTTTTCAAACAGTAACGTTTATGATGAGAGAGATATTTAGATCTTTCCATTTAATTTCCTTTTTTTGTTTTCAATAAACTTTTAATCAATCAGTGGTGAGAGAAAGAAACCGATCTCAAGAATTTCTAACGTGTTCAATTAATTAAAAATTAATTGAAAATAAAAAAGGAAATTAAATAGAGAGATCCAAATATCATTGAAGAATGTTTCAAATATGTTTATCTGAAAACACATTTTTCGTAAAAAAAAAAACGTTTATTTGGATATGCATATCCGAAAATATAGTTTCTTTACAACAATAGGAGTTCGTTCGGATATGCATATCTGAAATTAAATATTTTATGAAGAAAAAAAGTGAGTTCGGATATACATATCCGAATTCAGAGATATTTCAGAAATTTCACCAAAAACTTATAAAAAGACATAAGGTGCATAAACAAACTCCCTATTTCAAACTCTCTTATATGCTAATAACAATGATTAATGTGATTGTTTTGTATAGATATTCAATTTATTACTCACTCTCTTCCAAAATAAGTGTCACATTTAGAAAAAAAATTGTCCTAAAATACTTATCGCATTAGATTACCAATACAATTTTATATTTAATCTTTCAATTATATCCTCTAATAAATACTCTTAATTTATTGTTTTATTACTTAACATTAAGGCTATGTTTGGTAAAACTAGCTGGTAGCAGATGACTAGTAGCTGAAAGCTGATAATTGATAGTTCATAGCTGATAACTGGTAGCTGATAGCTGATAATTTAATTTGAGTGTTTGGTAAATTAATTGTTATATTAACTGATAAATATAAAATAACATAAAAAGACATTCTTAATTAAAAAATTAATAGTCTTATTATATTATTGTATTATATAGCTAACTTAATTTTATAAAATAAAAATAAATACATTAACAAACACATACAAAAAATAATTAATATATATTAAAATTTAAAATAATAACAAAATATATCAGAACAATTATATATAAAATTTTAAATGAACTTGTATAATAACATTTATATATAAATTTAATGAGATATGTATAATAATATCATTGTAATTTTGAACTCAATTATATTAATCTAAAATAATAATAAAAATAAGTTTATTATCTATTTTACGGTAAAACTCCAATATTATTATTATTATGAATCTATAATCTCCTGATATTTCACAAACTTAGAAATTAGCAATACTATCTCTAAATTCATTACAAATGATGTAATTTGAATGTTGTTGAAAAATATTAAGTATTACATTTTCTTATTAATCAACACGAATATATATATATATATATATATATATATATATATATATATATATATATATATATATATATATATATATATATATATATATATATATATATATATATATATATATATATATATATATATATATATATATATATATATATATATATATATATATATATAAGGGTAAAAATATATATTTGTTAAAATAATAAATATATAAATAAAAGAAAAAGTTACAAGGTAAAAGCTACACGCTAAAAAACTATTTTAAAAGTTTTTAAGAAAAAAACTAAAAGCTAAAAGCTAAATGAAAGTTATCAAAGATAGTATTTTTATTAATATAAGTTAAAAAGTTAAAAATTAAAAGCTCTCTGATGTTACTAAAAAAAGCTTATATTAATCTGAATACATGAATAATTAATTAAAATAATTTGGTAAAATTATTATTCTATATTTATTTCTTAAGATTTTTAATCTTTGTGAAATTGCCAATTGCGATAAATAATATGAGATAGAGGAGAGAAAGTGTTATTATTTATTTTTTAAAAACCTTATTTTTCATTCTAGTGAACACCTTAATATACATTTAATTAATGAAAAATGAGAAGTTAATTATTCTGGATCTGGACGACCAACCAGCCAGAGAAGCAAACGTTACTTCAACTTCAAACTTCAAGTCTTCACTCTTCTTCACTTTCTCTCATTCCCAAATCAACCCCCAATTTCCAATTTCCAATTTCAAATCCCACATATTTCTTCAACATCTTCAATCATCCCAAAAGTTCCACTTTGATCTGTGCCTCATTCAGGTTTGTTATGCTTTTGTTTCTTCATTGTAGATCTTCTTTCAGACTATCATCTATGGTTGAATTTCATGCAATGAAATTGAAAATCATGAAATTTGACTAAATAAGCAACTCGGTCTCTTTGTTGAGTCAATTCCTGAAGAAAAGTTTTGACCTTTTTCTTGCATCGGTTAGAATCATGAAATTACCATTTTCAGTTTCAGCATTTTGTTTGTGTTTTCTTTGTGTTTTCCTGGTGATTGTTGTAGCTCATTCACAACTTCCTGAGGAAATGTATAGATTTGATAATGATAAGAGATCTCATGTAAGCTATAGGTATGATAGAATTGATGAAGTTCAGAAACAATGTGTGTCTGTTTTAGCTTCTGCATCTGAATTGAGGTTGGGGTATAGTGGTGTTGTTGGTATGAAAAAAGAGTTTTCTTTTGTTAATGGGGATTGGATTCAGGAGGATGGTAAGTTTCCAATTATGCCATTTGATGATGGGGATTCGCCGGGGATGTTACCGGGAGGAGATCGGAGTAGTCCGATGAAATTGGTGTCTTTTCGAGTTACGGATGTTGATCATGCTCATCGATTGAAGAAGTCGATCCCTGTAAATGGTTTCATGGTGGTGGGAATTACTACAGATGGTAGTTTTATGGAGAACGTATATGGTGATGGGAATCTTGATTTTCGGTTATGGCCTGGACATTCTCAGCTTTTGATTCCCTTTCAAGGGGTTTACACGGAATCGAAGAGAAACGGTGGGGAGAGGGTGTTGTGTTTGTTGGGGAACACTATGCTTCCAACTCGTGAAACCAATCCTGCTAATCCGTGGGAGTGGATGAAGAAGAATCCTAGTGATGTACCTATGTCGGAAGATGATCAAATTCTGCTGGTTCTTCGTTATCCGTTGACATTCACTTTAACAAATAGGATGATCACCGGAGAGTTAAAAAGTTTGAACCGTGATTCGAATCCTAAATACTTTGATGTGGTTCACATATCGTCACAGTTGGGTAGCTCGGCGAAGTTCACATTTGGTTCACAACGTATTGTATCGAAAGCATGCGATCCATACCCGTATAAAGATAATCTGACAAATAATGTCATTACTGTATACAAAGGGACAAGGTTTTGTGAAATCCTCGAAGAAGTTACCAGGGATAAACCTTTATCTGTTGTACCAAATTGGAGGTGTAATGGCACTGACGATTTCTGCAGTCAATTAGGTCCTTTTTTGTCGGATGAGAGAATCAAATCAACACATGGAAGCTTTCAAGATGTTAAACTTTATATACAGGATGTTATCTGTGAGCAAGCAGCTGGTAAACGTAATTCTGGCTCCACTATGGTATCTGCAGTTTTTAGAGCGGTTTCTCCATCCGAGAATCGATATAATGCAGCAAAGAGATCCGGTGTCAACAACATGTCGCTTGCCACCGAAGGAATCTGGAAACCTTCTAGTGGACAGCTTTGTATGGTTGGTTGCCTTGGACTTGTCGATGCCAAAGGGAGTAACTGTAATACTCGGATCTGTTTGTATATACCTACCACTTTCGCCTTAAAGCAACGTAGTATTATTTCGGGAACTTTGTCTCCTATTAATAACAATAGCGACTTTTTTCCTCTATCATTTGAACAGCTTATGCAACCTACAGAACTCTGGAATTATTTCATGTTCACTCATCCAAATTACAGTTACTCCAAAGTTAATCTTGCTGGCACGATCCTAGAAAAAAACGAGCCCTTCAGTTTTTCAACCGTCGTTAAGAAATCATTGCTAACTTTCCCTAAACTTGAAGACGAGACATTCCAAGATAGTCTGTCCCTTCTTTCAGAAGATCTCACTTTTCATATCCCAGGTTTTCCCGATCCTATGCCTCGTGTGCAGGCCCCAAGAGTTGATATTCAGATGGAGATTCTCTCTGTTGGTCCAATGTTTGGGCGTTATTTTGACGCCCAAAATGGTTCAATAGTGGAACAACTAGACACACCAAATCAAGCAAACACCGCTGAATATACTGAAAAACAGCTTCTTTTAAATGTATCTGCACAACTGAGTCTTAGTGGAAAAGGTTATAGTAATTTTTCCACGCTTTTTCTCGAAGGTCTTTATGATCCACATGTTGGAAAGATGTATCTTATTGGTTGTAGAGATGTGCGAGCATCATGGAGCGTCTTATATCAGAGCTATGATCTAGAGGCTGGAATGGACTGTTTAATTGAGGTGGTTGTTTCGTATCCTCCAACAACAACTCGGTGGCTAGTCAATCCCACTGCCACAATTTCTATAGAAAGTCAAAGAACAGACGATGACGGCCTTCAGTTCAACACAATAAAGCTCCAAACTTTTCCGATCATATACAGAAAGCAACGCGAGGATGTGCTCTCACACCGGGGTGTCGAAGGGATTCTCCGGATCTTGACACTTACATTCGCAGTTGGTTGCATTTTAAGCCAACTTTTTTACATAAAGCATAATATGGATTCTCTTCCATATACATCTCTTGTTGTGCTTGGTGTTCAATCTCTTGGTTATAGCATTCCTCTAATCACAGATGCAGAAGCTCTTTTCAAGAGAATGGTTTCGGAGTCTTATGATGTGTCGTCATCTGGTGCTTTGGAGAACAGTGAGTGGCTCCATATCATCGATTACACTGTGAAACTTTTGTTGATTGTATCGTTGCTACTAACCCTGCGGCTTTTTCAGAAAGTGTGGAAGTCTCGAATCAGATTGCAAAAGCGAACCTCTTCTGAGCCTCATTATGTCCCTAGTGATAAAAGGGTACTTCTCTGTACCTTCATTTTACATCTTATGGGTTACATAATTGTTATGATAATTCACAGCACGAAAACCAGTAAGAAACATCTTAGAGAAAAGGCATATATGGTTGAGAAAGAAAATTCTCATTCGTTGCCAGATTGGGCAGCGGAATTGGAGGAATATGCAGGTCTTGTGCAAGACTTTTTTTTGTTTCCACAAATCGTTGGAAACTTAATCTGGCAAATCAATTGTAAACCACTGAGGAAGCTGTATTTCATCGGAATCACTCTAATAAGACTTCTTCCTCATGTATATGACTACGTTCGAGCTCCGGTTCCAAATCCTTACTTTACCGAGGACTCAGAATTTATCAATCCAAGTTTGGATTTTTACTCAAAATTCGGTGACATTGCTATCCCCGTGACTGCAATTATTCTTGCAATTTTGGTCTATATTCAACAAAGATTGGGCTATGGCAAGTTGAGTGAGGTTCTGACATTTGGGCGATATAAGCTTCTTCCAAGTTTCAGATATCAAAGGTTGGATTCTAAGTCCTCTGAAACAGAACTAGTTTCAGGCATCAATGGTAGTGGTGAAAATGAGAAAGAACAAGATGATGTAGAATGATGTAGAACTGATTTGTGTTACTGACAAAAGCTATTGTATTGTATACTTACATCATTACATTACATTACATGCATGAAAAGTTAGCACAAGTTTTTTTGGGGAATGTATTATAATGTGTATGAGAAGTTGGTTTTTGAATACAGAATAAACAAGTAAATTGTGGTTTTATTGTGCAACTTGTGATACTTTTTCTCCATTTTTTTATGCTTTTAGTTCTTCAATATTGTTCTAGCAATTTATGATTGAGAATTGAATTTGTGTGAAAGTAGAATTGGTTTTAGATTGGAATTAGTGGGAATTGGAAGAAATTTTGGATGCCTCATGGAGTTTAGCTAAATTATTACAATAAACACGTTACAAAGCCATCTCACCAACTCTCTTAACAGAATTATGGGTGGAGTAAAGTGTGACTGTGACCTCATAAAGATGAAAACATAAAATTGGAAAGTAACAATTGTAAACTTGTACTTATATGGTAAAAATGGTAAAATAAAAATGGAACTTGTACGTGAGTTGCTAAAGAATAAATCATGTGACAGTGCTCTCACTTAAACACATGTTCATGGCATACCTCAATACATTATGTTTTTGAGGATTTATCTGGCCACCTTCCACTTATATCTGACACTCCACAATTTGACATATTTGAGCGAATTGACTATATTATTTTTCACATCTTTTAATTTGTTTTTCAAAATCCACTAGAAATTTTTGCATTACTCAAAAGTTTCTTAGCAATATCGGAAATTTCACTTTTCATATTGGAAATTTAAAGAAGAAAGGTTTTTTTCTCTCTCCATAATTCATGAGTTTTTACCGGGAATTTTAGAATTTTCGATAAAATCCTTTGTATCTGTACCAGGAATTTTAGAAATGTCGGTATATATTAATGAGTTTTTACCGTAAATTTCAGAATTTCTGGTATTTACTCATACAATAGTATAAAAAATTCTGAAATTCTCGGTAGTTCAAAATGTTAAAAAGTTATCGAAAATTCTGAAAATCTCTGTAGTTCAAAATGTTAAAAAGTTTACCAAAAATTCTGAAAAATGTTGGGGAGTTCAATTTTTTTGACATAGTATTGGGAATTTCAAAATTTTTGGTAAAAGATGTAGAATCTCATAAATTTCAAAATTGGCGGAGGTTTATTGTTTTTTTGCATTTTTTATTTTGCAGTAAGACAAAGGGAAAGGATGACAATATTGCAAGCATGATCACAAATAGAGTGGCAACTCAGACTAGGACTATTGAGATAAAGTCTTTCCAACTACAGACTGGGAGAGTAGTTCCAACCGGTTCTCATCAAAAACGGTTGGCTGAGTAATTCTACGCACCCCGTAGCACCCGACGTCGAGCGATTATATTAGACAAGCAACCTAAAGATGCTGCAGATGAGCACGTTGCTGAGGTTGTTTATGCTGAGGAGTTGCAGAGTCAGACTGTTACTGACCCAGCTGAGGTGGCCGAGATGGATATGACCCATATTGTTGATGAGGTTGTTGATGAGGTGCATGAGACAAATGCAACCCTTATTGCTGATGAGGTGGCTTCCACTAATGTGGTCTCTATTGTTAATTAGGTCGAGACAGTTGACGTCGAGGCTACTGCAATTGGTGATACAAAGGTTACGACTCCTGCTTTGACAAAGCCATCTGTGCATACTGATAGCGAGTTTATAGGAGAACCCATTAACCAATCAATGCTTACCGAGTATGCTGACCATGTGGCATATCGATTATGGCAGGGAGAGGTATATATATTTTGTTTAACTTTAATTTATTTATTATTGATACTTGATGTGTTGAAACTAACTGATAAATTTTTAACTTTGTTTGTTATAGGATCGTCCCATGCTGAAGGCCATATCCCACAGGTCAAAGATGAAGAACTTTTGTAAGATTTTGATGCCTGAGCAGGTAAGACGAATTGTTGCTGATTTCGGTCTCATATCATTTACCAACCGCTCACTTACCATGCTTGATGTTTCACTTCTGACTGTCATTATTGAGCGATGACACAAGAAGACATCTTCATTTCATCTTCCATTTGGGAAGATGACTATCGCTTTTGATGATGTCTTCTCTCTGTTCCATCTCCCCATCGCCGATATATTCTTCACCGCTCTTGTTATTAACCAGAAGCTTGCATGTATGATGGTCGTACGAGATTTGGGAGTTACCGAGGAGGTCGTGCTAATGGAGTTTGATTTTAATAGGAGAGCTCACTTTCAGATGTCTTGGCTTCGAGATAGGTATACCGATTTTGTGGAGGCATGTATGTATGAGGCAACCGTAAGAGACTACATGCTACATCTAGTAGCATATACTCTCTTTGCGATTAAGTCTCATGTTTATATTGATGCTCGATACTCGTGGCTATTTAGTAGCCTTGAGTCTACCAGCTGGGCTTGGAGTTGCAAATGTCTTTGAGATCAGACAACTTACTGACTATTTGAGTTTATTTTAGGTATCCTAAAAGTTATTATTTATAGTTTAGTTCTTATTTAATTGTTATGTTTGACATTTCATGATGTATCTTTGTGTGTTTATCAGTGCTGGATATACGAGCATTTCTCCACCATTTGTGACAGGAAAATGCAGCATACCCCTAGGGGCGCCCCACGGGCAAGGAGATTGAAGGCCAGGAAAGCACATCCAGTTGGTGTTGTGGAGTATATGAGGAGGCTTGATGCGTTGATAGTAGATGATGTCATTTGGACACCCTATTCAGGTTACATAGTCCATCATGAGTTTGATAAGGCTTCTCTATTTTCTGGTCATATACAGTGGGAGACCTTAATGGCTAGACAGTTACCTGAGAGGCGTTTGCGATAATATGAGTATGTCTAGGGCATTCCACATCCAATTCAGGATGTTCCATCTGTGGGCATTGATAGGTAGTTTCAGAGTAACATCATCAGCTCTTCCGTGCAATTAGAGATAACATAGTGAGGGTTCAATATAATGCGTAGTGTGAGGATGGTTACCTGTAGTGGTACCATACCGTATCACACCCTTGCATCCTGCCACTTGTTGAGCATACAAATGATGTTGTGCCTTTAGATGTCGGGGGACCCGTCGATAACGTGTCACCGCCTCCACTTGATGTTGATGACCAGCAACGCTTGCATATGATTGCTCTTATTATGGATAACCTCATGGGTTTGATAAACTCAAATGGTGATGTTTTTACTGGATTATCGCGGGCAACACACATATCCCGTGGAGAACCTATTTAGTATTTAATTTTACAGTTGTATTATTTGTATATTTTGTGACTCAGACTATTTAGCACATTACCTTTTGTTACATAATATTTTGTTGATTATATGTTTTGAAGATGAACACAACTTAAGACATTACAACTAACATTAATTAACAATAACGAACATGAAAACCTAGACACTACCAAATGATTCTGGACGTTTCAACATCTTGATTATGTCGTAGACAGATCTTGAAATTATTGCATCAAACTTGATCGATCACTTAGTTAGCCTATGATGAAATACTCCCCACCTAACCTTCAAATCTGCATCGATCTTCAACTCAATAAAGTCGTATTTCACCTTTCCATCAGTATTAATCCAGTCTGCACAAAATTCGATCTTACCCACCTTTCTATTCTCGAAGTCAGGCAACAAATCATTCAATGTGGATCTCAAGACGGCAAGACATGCGGTGTCTTTTGGAAGTCAGAACTCTACAGAAAGTTCACTTCGTTGAAGTACATTTCTATCTTAATCAAGAATTGAGGAAGATGCATTTTTAGATGTTTTTTCAACAATAGATAACTCATATTTATACAACTTTAGACTCATTTTGTACCACACAAAACGGTTGGTACAATCACAATAGTACAAAATTGCCGGCATCGTAACTGTTGAAAACTTGTACTATCGAAATTTTGCATTGGTTGAAATTTCTAATATCACATGATATTTTTTTGAAAATATCGATATTATTTCAAAAATATCAAAAAAAATTAAAAAAACTAATATTAGTTCATACCGAAATTTATTAATGAACTACAAATTTTTTTAACTTATACCAAAAATTTTCAATGAACTACCGAAATATTTATTTACACATTTGAATCCAATTTTTTTCAGAGACAATTTTAAAATTAATAAATATATGGGGGTTCTAGATTTAATTTTAAGAGTAGCAGGTTAAATTCTCTAAGTTTTTAAATAAAGATTTAGAGTTAAGTGAAAGATATAAACCACTAAATTAAGAAAATTATGAAATAATATAAATTACATATGAGAAATAAGAAGATAACAACAGGAAATAATATAAAACTAGAACAAGACATGTGCGATGTGCGTGACATTGTTGAATTTTTTAAAATAATATGAGATTATATTGATTTTAATTTTGGTTAGTATAAAATTATTCTAATTGAGATGATAAGATGAAGAAGATAAAATAAAGAAGATACAATTTTAAATGAAACAAATGTTGGAATTGTATAAATGATAAATAAGATGGCACAATTTAATTTAAAAATGTGAAATAAGTGGAAAAAATTTCATTAATTTTTTTTAATTTTTCTTTTTCTTTTTTTCTAACACTTCTAAAAATGTTAATTCTTTATTATTTTATGGATGAAAGAAATTTTATATTTGAATGATTCAGATTGTTGTAATCAATCATCATAGTCAGTATTAAAATCTAATATAAACTTTTATATTTTTCGAAGAATATATTTTTAAATTTATATGTTATTTTTCACAACAAATAGACATGTCTATTAGATACAGTTGAATATTAGTCACCCAAATTATTAAATAAATCATTAAATCGTATAAGATAGTGTGAATGACCTCATTGAAAAAGGTGACCTTTAATCTTTTAATATTTTTAAGGGTTGCTGAATTTCTCTTCAATTGAATTATGTAAAACGATACGCCTTAATTTTTAGAGTAATTCTTTTGTTTTTTTAGATTTTCACTAGTATTCTAGTTTGGGACGAGTTTAAGCATTAAGTGGTTTTAGTCCACTTCCAATCATAATTGTGAGAATTAAATCAAGATTCCTTTTATTAAGTTCAATATCAATCATCAATGAATTAACTAATATTTAGTTGATACTTTATTTTTATTTTACTTTATGTTCATCTAACATCATAGCTTTTGTTAATAGTTAATTACTTATTTAAACTTGTATTATACTAACTTAAATAATTTGATTATATTGAATAAATTGATAGAATTAATTTTATCTTTTAAAATTATATTGATAATAATGAAATAAATGAAAAGATGGTAAGAAAATATATAAAGTGTTCACTAAGGTTTATAAAATTCATTTATATGAAAGCTATTTATAATTAGTTAAGTTAAAATATTTTTTGTATTTACGAGGAGTTGAACCAATGATCTCTAATAAAGAATAAGTCTTCTTAAAAAGTAAAGATGAGTTTTTAGATATATCACATAGTAATACATATGATAGATAAAATTTAGATAATATGAATGATGTGTCGACTCAGAATCCACAATTCAGTTTTAATATAAATAATAATAGATATTTATTTGTATTGATTTTTATTTCTTCCAATGTCTCAAACAGACCACATGCATGTTATAATTTATATGAATAATAAATATTCATAGGCATGCGTTCAAAATTGAAAGAAAATGTGTCAGTGAGTAAATGATAATAAATGTATGGGAAATAATTTCACATAGAAAATAGTACTTGTAATACGGTAGAAGAACTAACTTGGTGTTTTGCGTTTTATCACAATTGTTGCAGATAGTAAGAGTCGCCACTGACTTTTCTTTTATCCAATAAGGAAATAGTGAAAAGAATAGGAAAGACCTTTGAGATTTATTTCTTGAGTTCGGGGGATAGGTTATGAAAAGGGAAGGTGTTAGCACCCTTTTCATCCGTAGTTTTCTACGGACTCTTAATTGCTTGCTAGATCACTTGCTTTGTTTGAAATGTGTTTTGTGGTATGAGTTTGAAAATATTTTGAAAAACATCTTTGTAATGATTCTCGTCTCTATAAGAATGCGTACAAGTGTTGGTTTTGAAAATAGTTCAAAGAGGTGTTTGTGGTGGAAGATGTCTTTTGAAAGTGATTTTGAAAAGTATCTTTGTAATGATTTTCGTCTCTATAAGAATGCATACAAAGAGTTTTGACTTTTGAAAATGTTTCAATTGACAGTGTTGGTGTGAAAATGATTTTTGTTGTGAGCAAGCGAGCAACTATGAGCATCCTACCAACTCAAAGGTTTAATGTTCTTTTCCTCCTCCTTTAGATGTTTCTATCTTATCATTGATTGATAAGAAGCCCCATCGTTGGATGTAAAGGGACGGGCGTGAGTCGTTTGTATAGTCATAGAAGACAACCTATGGGATGTTTTAGCAATTTTCATATAGAGACTAGATCGTTTACCGAAGGCAACATTGAGGGACATCGAGGGACTACGATCTTTTATCAAGGATTTTTGCTAAAGCACCCATATTCGAGGGACATGACTATTTTCCGAGGCAACAAGTGAGATTATCCTAGAGGTGCATGTGTGCAAAGTGTGTTTGATTGCATGCATTTAGTCTTTGATTAGGATGGTCTACTTGTTGGTTTTATCTTGTCATACATTCTAATTACTAACATTTGTACAAAGCAATAAAAATATAGAAAATGAATATCCTACACTATTACAACCATATTGAATAGCAAGAAAATATAAAGAAAAGCATAAATAACATAAGAAGAGAGGAAAAGTGAGTCCTTCCATCCAGGCAGTAGGCTCCTTCGATTCACCCCTCTTTTGCTTCTTTCGATTGGGGATGAGAATCAGTGTGAGTACCCTTCGATTACACCCTTTGTCCTTCCTTCGATTGGGGCCTGAAAGTCAGTGTGAACATCCTTTGTTTCTCCCTTCTTGCTCCTTCGTTTGGACTGTGAAGCAGTATGGGCCTGTAAAACAGCATGAGTATGCATCCTCTGTTCACGCTCTCTTTGTCTTTTGTTTGGGACTATGAAGCAGCCAGGGGAGAAG